CAATCCATGGTCCTTAGGCGCCCTCCATTCTCTTCATTGTAGCCTCCTACAGCGAAAGTGCGCAGGTGGGACCTAGCCCCCTTCGGTGATCGGGCTAGGTAGTTTTCGGATTCGCGATGGGAGCAAAAATGGACCAGCGTTGAGCCAGACCTGCTGCGTTCGCGCCTCAGGAACAAAGATTGGCGCCGGTAATATCCGCGCTCAAATTTGAAGTTTTCAATTTTGAACGGTCTCGGTTCTCGCCGCACGCCCTATGGCTGTCCAAATGTTCTTTTCGACATGGCGAGTGCGGCGATTGTGTCAAGGCTCGCTTGCATAGAATGTTTTTTTCTTTTCTTTTTTAATCCCTTTCTGCCTTCCCAATCTTGACGATAGATGCTACCGTAGAATCAGCGACGTGAATGAATCACAGGATCTGTCTTCGTGAGTGTGATCTTGAAGCATCGTCGATCGATTCGATGAAGAAGCGTCGGTCTACCAGGCTATCTGGTGCACAGGCCGGCGTGAAAGAAATCGTTGACGTCGTCGCACAAGCCAGGAAATACTCGGGCACCGCGGAGACTCAGGGCAGATCGAACGGGGCAACCTTGCGAATCTGAGAGCCGAGAACCGAAGTTTAGCGCTGGTCCATCTCCTCTCACATCGGGAGTGACGATGACACAACATGTGCGCTCGCTGAATGCCATGACGATGACTGAAGGTGAGTTAACCCTGCTTCGTCTGTTGCTTTCGTTTCTTTGTGGGGCTTGAACTACGTGTGTGTGTGTGTGTGTGTGTGTGTGTGTGTGTGTGTGTGTGTGTGTGTGTGTGTGTGCGTGCGTGTGCGTGTGTGTGTGTGTGTGTGTGTGTGTGTGTGTGAGAGAGAGAGAGAGAGAGAGGAGGGCAGAGGATGTCGGAGAGGGCAAAGAAGAAGAATTGGAGGGATGGCAGGAGGAGTTGGAGATGGGCAAGCTTACTAGGTTGAAGCTGCCAAGCCTGAGGCACGGGCGGAGACTTCCGAACGACTTTGAAAGATGGAGGCAAACTGCTGCGCCTATGCGCCTGGGTATTGCGCAAAGTTGCCCACCCGGTATGGAGGGAAAAACAGGTAAAACAGGGCGCAGGCCCAGTCCCCAACAACGACGTCCAGATTGCAATTTGCACACAGGCCTGACAGGGGCAAAACACAAAGAATTAGGCCCAAAAGGGCATTTTGCTCAACCCTCATCTTTTAGGGGCATTTTGGCCTATATCTCAACTTATAGGGGTATTTCGCAAATTATCCTTTTTTAAAACTTAGCTATATTATTCTCTCAATGTCACCTCGTACTACCGACCTGCCACTACTCCTAAGCCTAAATACAGGGGACCCCTGCAAGCATAGCTACCTCTCACAATGCATGTTGTTCCCCCCCCCCCAAATCGGTGGTGGTCAGGGAGTAGGGTGGGGCCGTCGGTTGTGGGGGCGCGGGCTAATGCGAAGACCGAGCATTTTGCCAGTTGCTGTGCCTCCCATCTACTTCCCCCACCCCCCATGGAGCAGCAGCAGTGGCTATGGCCAACACTCTCCCACAAACCACACACCACACACAACCCACTCACGCTCACACTCACACCCATGGTGGTCATTGACCCTACTAATACCGATCAGGGGTATAAAGTGGACTATCATACTCGGATGGCACTAAGTGCGCTGTGACGCCCAACCTCACGCCCAGCGCGAGTTCCTGATCGGAGTGCGATGGGGGCTTGGAAGTGCGAAAAGGGGGGTGTGCCAAGGATTTCAGGAAAGTGGGGGTGGAGTCCCAGGTCAGAACTGCGATCTCCTGGCAACATTGCCCCTGCCGATGAACTCAATTTCCGTAAACCTTCAAGCCCGGAAAATGGGAATCACCATCTCCTCTGGTTTCCCCTTCATGGTTGGTCGCGGGGTTTGACCAGTTGTCAGCACCGCTCGGCTTTGGTTCGGGCTTGCCGAACGAATTCCCAGGCTCGATGGGTCTGGTGCCGCAGACACTTTTCGCACGGTCTGCGGAGCCAGTAGCGGGCTATGGAATTCCACGGCACCACCGTGAGCTGGTGATATGGAAGGAGGAGGTGAGAGGGAGGGAAACTGGTGGTAATAACAACAAAGCCGCGGGATATGAAATATTGCGTGTTATGAGTATCCGGGTAATCGGGGCCCCTGGGGTCGTTAGTTATGGCACAGTGAAAGTCCCTTGCGCATAATCGGTCGTTTTCTCTTAGACAGGGGAATTCAGGGTTTCTTAAGTTCCCCCGCCGCCTAAGTTGTTCACCCTCCCAGTATTCACGATATTGCGGGTCCCTCAGACTCTCACGATTGGATATCCAAGAGGGAAATTCCGCTGCCATATTCGTTTAGGAAGCTCGGTCCCCTGCATCCTCATACGGGGTTCAAGGCTGACTCACGCAGACGAGCGCGTACGTGGCGACTCGAGATCGCGGTCATATGCGAGCGTGCACGTGCGAAACGACGGATTGGTTCAGTGTACCGATCACG